AACTATGATAGTTTTATTTTCGTTTTCAATTTTACTTCATAGCCACATGTGTGTACCCAAAGAGCCACATGTGGCTCGTGAACTGCAGTTTGCTGACCCCTGTTCTAGACCCTTGTCATCATGTAGACCTCTATCTGACCACAACCTCCACCCTCTTGACCTTTCACTCAATTACTTCCAGGCTATCTGCTCTATTTTTTCTTTTTAAAAAAACAGATTTTTCTTGGTACATATTTAAAATGTACATTTTGGTAAGTTTTGACATAAATATATACCTGTAAAACCATTACTACCATCAAAATAATGACATAGCCATCACTCCCAAAAGTTTACTCATGATTCTTTCCCACCCTTGTCCACCTTACCTCTAGTCCCAGGCAACCACAGATCTGCTTTTTGTCACTATAGATTAGTTTGATTTTTTTAGAGTCTTACAGAAATAGAATCATGCAGTGTGTACTATTTTTTTGTTTGGCTTCTTTTACTCAGTCTAATTATTTTGAGATCCATCTGTGTTGGTGCATATATTAATAGCTCATTCCTTTTCATTTCTGAGTAGTACAGTATTCCATTGTGTGGCACTACTGTAGTTTGTTTATCCTTTCATTTGTTGATGGGCACTTGGGTTGTTTCTAGTATTTGGCTACCAATAAAGCTACTGTAACTATTTATGTACAAGTCTTTGTGTGGGCATGTCCTTACCTATCTCTTGAGAATGGAACACCTGAATCATATAAAGGTATATGTTTAACTGCTAGACTGTTTTCCAAAGGTGGTGTACCATTTTACATTCCCACCAGCATAATGAGAGTTGAGTTACTCCATGTTCTCGTTAACACTTAGTATAATCAGTCTTGTTATTTTAGTGGTAGTGGTATCTCATTGTGGTTTTAATTTGCATATCTCTAATGACTAAAGATCTTGAGTATCTTTTCATATGCTATTTGCCACCTGTATGTGGTGAAGTATATGTTCAAAGGTATTGCCCATTTTTTAAATTGAGTTGTTCGTTTTCTTACTATTAATTTTTTTTTTTTAAGATTTTATTGGGGAATTGGGGGAGGGGAACAGACAAGTTGCGGTTGTTTTGTTCTTTAGTCTAGTTGTGGAGGACGTTGCTTCACTGGCTCATGTTGGTATTATCATTGCACTCATCCCGGGTGAGGCAGATCCGTCGCCGGCCTCTGGATGGCCGCTCACGGCGGCTCTTAGCAGTTCACACTGGCTGCCAGCCGCTCACGCTGGCTGCCAGCCACACACAGTAGCTTATGGAAGCCCACTGCAGCAGGGGCTGCAGCCTATGCCGTCGCCGGCGACTCATGGCAACCCAGCTCCAGGTCAAGCTGTTGTTCACCATCTTAGTTGTAGAGGGCAGTGTCACTGGCCCCCATGTGGGATCTGAACCGGGACCCTGCTGTTCAGAGCTGGTGTCCCAAGCCAGCTCTTAACCAACTGCGCCACTCGGCCAGCCCTTACTATTAAATTTTGAAAGTTCTTTATATAGTCTAGATTTAAGTGCTTTATCATATATATGACTTAGAAATATTTTCTCCCTATCTCTGGCTTGTCTTTTTATTCTCTTAATAGTGACCTTCAAAGAGTAGAAGTTTTTAATTTTGATAAAGTCCAATTTATCAGTTTTTTCTTTTATGGATTCTGCTTTGATGTCTAAGGAGTCTTTGCCTAACCCAAGATCACAAAGATCTTCTCCTGTGTTTGTTTCTAGAAGTTCTATACTTGCATGTTTGACATTTAGGCCCTTGATTCATTATGAGATAATTTTTATTAATTTCAAATTCCTCCGGTGGACTGCTGCTCCCTTGTGTTTATTTAGGCATTATAGTGTATTCTTATGTAGATATTATAGTGTTAGAAGTTTCTGTGTTCCTGCTCCACCAGCAGATTTCAGCGGACCTTGCACACCAGCACCCCAGAGGGTGTTTCTCTACATTTTTACCTGTTTCCTGGTGGTATATATACTGCCATTGCTTATTGTTTGGTCTGTGGCATGATATACAGAGGGAGACTTAGGAAGGATTTTATAATGTTAAATTTAGATTCAGACTATCTTTGTGAACTTGTGGCCTTGAAAAGATCTTTAAAACGTTGTCACTTCATCAGGAGAAATGATCAAGAATGCAGTTCTTGCAATTGATAATGAGATAAGCAAGGAAATAGATTTTGAAAATATTAATGAATTTGCTTCCATTAAAGCCAGAAAAGCAAAATTATAGTACATTCTGTGTTATAAATATTTAAACTAATGTGAGTTTTAATACTTTTCAATATTGAGCCTTTTCATTTTTCAATATTTTTTCAACACTTAATGTTCTAGAAAAAATTAACCATTGAAATAATAAAAGTATGTATATATAGTGGTATACATTTTTTCTTTTATCTCAGGCTCCAACATGGCTTAGCTCAATGCTGGTACTTAAAATTTTAGTTTCCTTCATCATGGATTTTTTGCTTTTATTTTTATTTTTAAAAACTATTGTGTTAAAATATTTATTTTGATTACTGATTTTTTTTGGGTGCCTCCTTAAATTTTGTGCAGAACCCTCACTCTTTTCATCCTAGTTCCAGCGTTGGTATTTTCACTGCCTCTTCAAAAGTAATAAGACACATTCAAAGGATATTTATAAAATAACAGTATAAGTTAGCCAATAGAAGTTAAAAGTTCATAAAATCAGTTCAATTAATTAGATTTTACTTATGCATTTATTCTTTTTTCCAGATGAATCAATATAGTAGCAACCAGTAGGGTTAAAGAGATGGGGGTGGGTATAATCATAGTTTGGATGAGGAGTTTAAAAATCAAACAGGTATGATATATAGAGAGAAATTTTTTGAAATTAAAATGAAAAGGATGATATCATAATTATAAGAGTTAAAGTAGAAATATCTTTTCAAATTTAGGGTCTTAAGAAATACCTAAAGTGGCCAGACAAGGTTCTCAGGTACTTAAAACCAGTTCTCATGTTGAAACCCTCTGCTATGTGCCCCCCTGCACAAATTTGTTCTTATTTAAAAAGATTTCCTTAGAATAGCTGATGCCCTATTCAGGGGAAAATGTATTTTCCACATACCAGACACTATTCTAAGTATATATATTAACTCATTTAAACCTCGTTAACAATTCTCCATGGTAGGCACTGTTATTATCTCATTTACAGATGAGAAAATTCAGGCATGGTGAGGTTAAGTGACTGACTCATGTTATACAATAATTGCAGAACCTAGATTTGAACTCCAGCAATCTTGCTCCTGAATCTGGCTTGTAACTGCTAAGCTATACTGCTTCAGATGTACAAGAGTTTCTGAATACAACAAAATGGAATACATCATATATGTGTGTGTGTGTGTGTGTGTGTGTGTGTGTGTGTGTGTATAAATATATAATTAGCTTTTTATTATTGCTGTACCAAATTACCAGATTAATTTCAGAATGACTATTGAAAGATATGGGTCAGACATTCTGTATGTCTCTTTGTAAAGTCTGTCCTTTTTATATGTATTTTTCTTCTCCCTGGGTACAGAAGAGTGAATATAGACAACTATGGGTAGACCAGAAGTTAAAAATGTTGGATCCGTTTCAAGAAGGGGAAGGACTGATGAGCCTGTGGTCACATACAATGACCAGGGGCAAGTGTTTCTAAGAATGTGGTGTAAGATGATGGATTTGCTAGAAGTCTGAGAGGAGAACTGCCTGTGCAAACTTTATCCTGAGTCTCCTGGGAGGTGGAGTGTCTGTTGGCCCTGCCAGCCATCATGAGGCCCTCATAGGCATTTTGGAGAAAATATTAAACTTGAGGCACACCAGACTTTGTCCAAGAATGGAGGCAAGAGACAAGGCCCCAGGCAGAGGATATGTGTGGGATAAAATAGTCCCTTGAGCATAGACACTTGAATCTTAGCTGTGAGAGAGTCTAGCCCAGTAAATGCTGGCTCTAGACCCAAAATTACTCGATATGGTTTGGTGACAGGAGAAGAGAAGGTCACTTTAACTTCTTTTACTTAATCACAAACCATTGGTGATTTAGTGCTGTAACCTAGTCATAACAATGGTGAGTTTTCACAGAGCCCCAGTGTTAGGTGTTATAAACAGTAGGGCAGTTATTAAAGGTTCCTTCACACAGCCAGTGATTTTGTTCTGGCTCATGAATTCCTAAAGTGTATGCATTTAACTAACATACATGTATCTGTCCACATAGATATGACCTGTAGCAATTCTCGAGACAGTAGCTTTATTTCTTTGAAATACATTGATGGAGAAAATGTGATTTGACATCCAATTTTTATTTTAAAAGATTACTTCCTTTTTTGAGGTTAAGTCTTGTTTAGAGGCTATGTCTGATACTTAGTTGGGGTTGCCAAGCCATCTCCATCTAAGGGCATGAACACTTTTATTGAATAATAGGTAATATGTTTCCATTTTCATAAGAGAGACATTTCTAATTACAGTGGGCTGCAGTACCAAACTGTTTGCAGTTGACTGGTGTAGTTCTGAGTAAACCTTGATTCTTCTCCTTTACAGTGACCAAAGAACTCTGCTAGAGGATTTGTTGGTGAACTGAACCCAAAAATGTGGTTGTCATTGCAAGGAGAGAAACATGCTGTCCTGAATATTTGTAAAATGTTCTTGTAAAAATGTCTTGTGAGCAGTAATTTTATATTATTTTACCTTTAGAGATTTAAAAAATCATTCTTTTTATACATGGCAAGAGATATTTTGCACATATTCCACTGGGGGCATCTTTTAATATCAATCAGTTTTACTCTTTTGAAAGAATTTTGAAGAGGTTTATACTCCAAGTGCTTTTATCTTAAAAACATCTCTCCTTCCATGACATTGCTTTGCTTCTGAAGGTCAGCCTTGTTCACTTTATTTTTTAAAAAACTATATCTTTTGTCATAACATTTTTTCTTTCTAAAACTGATGTTTTAAAATTAGAACTTAAATTCATATACTCTATTTCTGATTCATTTTAAACTTTCAGGTTCAACTTTAAAGAAGCTTCTACACACTGGAAATTCTATTAAGGTATTTATTTGAGATAAATGTGTAATGGTATTTTTTATTACTCTTAAGTTTATTAATGCCATAAAATGACAAAATTAGGCCATTTAAAAAACATCTTTAAAAACCACTTGACTTAATTTTATTTTTAATTGAGAAATAATATTACGAATATTTTTAGAGTTTTTCTTCTTACATAATAACTTATTGTGATAGACATTTTAAATTTTATTAGGAGAAACTGGCATGGGATTTGAGGTTCAGAATTCTAATTTTGATTCTACTGTGTACAGTCGGGGAACCATTGGCAAGTCACTGACTGTTGCAGTTTTAATGTCAGAAAAGGGAAGGGCTGAACCTGTTCCTCTCTAAGCTTCAGAACTAACGTGCCTGATTCTGTTCCCCCCCAGTAAGTAATCTTGTTAAAATTATAGTTGTTTATGAATTATTTTTGCTCTTTTTGAGCACCATTGTGGGGGAAAAGAGCAGCAGAAATTTACTCTTAAATATTTATTTATTTGCAGCAGATCTTGTAATTTAGGTTAAAACTGGGTTATTTTAAAGTGAATATGCCTTTTATAATTATGTACTATTTGATGCTGTGATAAAATGGCACTAAAACAAAAGTGGCAAAAGAAACGAGCCTCAGATATGTGTTTTATGGAAGACAATTCACTTGTAGCTCATTAAGTTATGTGTGTGCCTTCAATAAGCTAATACATTTTTGGTTTTATACCAGTTTATAAATCATAGCCACTTGAACTTGGTATGTTAAGTATCTCTTACATGTTGAAAAAAGGAGGCCAGCTATTCCTAACTTCACAATAGAGTCTATATTTTTTCCCTACTATTTTAATTAATAGTCAGTCTTACAGTTGAAACCTATCAGGTTGTTATCTCATGTTTATTATTGACCTTATTTATATTTAGTTATCTCCAGTACAGTTAACATAAAAAAGTGAAGACTTGTGATAGAATTTTGAAGAAACTTTCCTCTTGTTAAATTTAATATAATTTGGTTAGGTATACATCAAGTCATGTCATTTTCATCTGATGCTGAATAGCATTATTCATTCGGCAATGTCACTTATTTTACCTACTCGGGGAAAGAACATTTGTGAGTGGGCGTGGAGGTTTGTGCAGAGCAGCGGTGAATCCATGGGCATATCTGAAAGTGCCCTGTGGAATCCACTGTTAGTGGGATTATCACTCTCACCAGTCTTAGTATATTTCACTTCTGTGGGGATTCAGCCAAGCCCTCCCTCCCTGCCTCCTTCCCTCCCTCCCTCCCTCCTCCCTGCCTCCCTCCTCCCTGCCTCCCTCCTTCCTCCCTCACTCCTCCCTGCCTCCCTTCCTCCTCCCTGCCTGCCTCCCTCCCTCCCTCCCTCCTCCCTGCCTCCCTCCCTCCCTCCCTCCTCCCTGCCTGCCTCCCTTCCTCCCTTCATTCCTTTTTCTTCCTTCCCTGTCCTTCAAGAGTGCTGATTTTTAAGAACATTATAAATGTGCATATTGTAGTAACATGACATAAATTCTGTCAAAAGCACAGTGTAAATTTGGAGGAAGACGATCTTTGCATTGTTTTCATGGATAATTGAGCATTGATGATATGGGCACCATGCCTTATGACATGAAATATGGTTAATACGAAATACTTATATTGTGCTTACTGTGAGCCAGGCACTGTTCTAACTCACTTAATCCTATACCAGTACTTTGTGATACGTTTTGTTACCATGCCTATTTTATGGATGGGGAGACCAAGACATAGAGAAGCTAAGCTGTTCTCCACAGGTCACAGTTAAGCTAGAGAGCGGCAGAGTCTGGATTTGAACCCAGGCACTCTGGCCCCAGAATGCAGACTCTTAACCCTTGTGCTGTATTACAGCATCCTTACTTGTCACTAAGTGAAGAACTTGGTGTAGCACTTTAACTATACTTTTCACTTCTAGTTTTTCTTTCTCTGAACTGATGCTACATTGTAATGAATTTCTACAAATACATGTATTTAGTTTTGTTGCCTTTAATTTTGTCTTCAGATAAGATGTGAAGGAATCAGGCTGTTTCTTCTGTGGCTTCAAGCACTTCAGACAAACTGTGCAGAAGAGCAGGTGCTGATTTTCGCTTGCCTCGTGCCTGGTTTCCCAGCGATTGTGTCCTCCAGAGGGCCCTGTACGCTGGAGATGCTCATCAGTCCGAGCCCTAGTGCAGTTGATGGTGAGTGATGTGAACAGATCTGAAATGGCTCTTGAAGTTACACTGAGGAATTCCTTGGCTTGCCATTTTCTTGGATAGAAATCTTGGTTTCATAAGTGGGTTCTGAAGAGGAGTTATTCCCTGTTCATATTCACAGTAGATTCTTATAAACAGTAGAATTGAGAGACTTGAAACCTATTTTATATGAAATGATGAGAGGAGAAATTTTCTGAAATGGTAGAAACAGGAGTAGAAGACAAATGTGTTGGCAATAGCAAGAAGTAAAGAAACATGTCTGGCGTGTTTTTGTGGCTGTTAATGAGATTTAAATACACTATCCAAAACTATTGTATTGTCCGCATTGCTATTGTTTCTTAAGTGGACACTCATCTGCTAAGCCAGGCTACTTTTTTTGCCAGCTGTATATTTTCATGTAGTATTCATGGAGGGAAAATAGTGCCTCATGGGGCTATTAATGGCACCACTTGTGTCCTGTGAATTTTCAAGGAACTTGCCTGGTAAGGCTATTGATTTATAACTGCATATCATTTAATTGCTAAATGACAGGTATTTGACCTTAGACTGACCAAAGCAGAATTTGAAAGAGAAAAGACTGGCCCAGTGGGAGAGGTGGCTTGGTGGGCATCTATATCATGTTTTTAAGTCCTTTATGCACCCTGGCTTGGTCTCTGTGAGCAGTTCTAGTGGATGGATAGATGTATTTTTTTATTTTATTTTATTTTTAAATTAGTTTCAGGTGTACAACACAGTGCAATAGTTACACTTTTTACCCCTCAAAGTGACACCGCCCTCCCCCAATCTGCCACCCCACTCCTCCCCCACCCCCGATAGCATACATATCTATTACAATTCCACTCCCACACTATACTCCACATCCCGTGACTATATATATATATATATATATATATA